TGGCCGCTGCCGTGGACCGCGAGCGGGTTCTGAGCGCCGCGGACCCGCGCTGTGCCTGCGGCCGGCAGCACCGCACGGAACCCGTGCGGCTCACGGGCTGCGGGCACGGGCTCTGCCGGGCTGCCTCCTCGGGTACCGCAAGGGGAGGCAGCGCGCCGGCTGCCCGGAGGGCTTCGAGCTGAAGGACCTGCTGGCCGCTCTGGTGAACCTCGCTCTGCAGGAGGTGCAGGGAAGAGAGCTGGAAATGCGGGATGAACCGGGACCCTCCGGAGATGTTGCCTGCATCCCCGGCACCCCCCGGGCCAGCTGTGGCCACGATTATAAATGCTTCACCAGGGTCACGAACATGGGGACGTGGCTAGGACTAAGTGAACTTTATCTTTCTTTTCTCTTCCCCCCCCGCCCCGGGCATTTCCCGTGCCAGTATGAGCATTGTCCCAACAGGGTGGTGTGTGCTGAGCAGACGGCTCTGGGGTTCACTGGTGGGTCCGGTACACTGACTGCATGGCTGCCTTAGAGGAACTGGTAGCTGTATGTATTCAGCTGATGTATGACAGTAATAACTGTTCTTTGTGCTGGGTGTTACTTACTGCACCAACATAGGAGACTCCTGAAAGGCCACATAACATTATTTTACGGTGCTACAGCTCCACCCAGCTGAATGGCACAAAATGGGACTGGTTATTACCTAGAGCTCTGCTCAAAATAACTCCCCAATTTGGAGGAGATGACAAAAATCTGTTGACCTTCAGTATTTTAGCATATATGTATCTAAAAAGTCTGCAGTTGAGCAAAGAGGTGAAGCTCACAATTATATTTGAACATTGCATGAATTGTTGACCATTGCATGTTGACTTCATTGTGACTATTCCCACTCAGAATTGTCTTTCAGACCCCTCCTCAGCCAGCCCAGTGCTTAACTAGTGTCAGTGATGTCGGGATTTTTATTGTCCTGCTGCTTAACCTAGTCACCTCTTTGAGGGTTATATAGATGAATGGTCAAATATCACTTTAAAGGAGGAAGAGATATGGGACATCTCCAAGCAACTAGAAATGACTGCAGAGACCATCCACCTCTTGAGGACAGATCTCAGCAAAGCAAAGGCACACACGGTACTGTCATGACCTGCAGTTAGCTTCTGTTCCCACTGCCACATGGAGACCTGCTCAACTCGTGTAGCCTTCCAGCCCAGAGCAGGAATCTGCCTTTTTGTTTCCTTCTTTTGCTGTCACAACTCTGGTTTTATTGATGAGAATGAACTATGGTACCAGCTGTATGAACTCCTGTCTTGGCTGGCACAAAGGCCACTGGAGTTCTGTGCTGGAGCCTTTTCATGCCTATCCCAGGAGTAGCCTGAATGTTTCTAGTACTCTTTAGATGCAAAATGCAAAGAGGGAATACTGATCCTTCTAAACTGTCAAAGACTGCTGGCCATAAAATAGTCAAGATCCTTAACATCCCCAAAATCTCATTGCAGGTAATGTAAGATAGTGTCAAATATATTTTATTCCTTTGAATAAATGTAGCTGTTTCTGATCTGCGGGGGTCAGTCAAAGATGGGGCAGTAGATTCTCATATTCCACACATCTTTTCTAACGAACACAACGAACTCCATGTTTTCTGCCTTTAACGAATATGCATCTCGGATCAAAAGCCAGATTACTAAAGATTTCTGTTTCATGAAGGAATATGTTGAAAGACAGGAGAGAAACACACCGAGGTTCACTGAACAAGAGCAAAAAGCAGCTCAACAGAAAATTGAAGAGACTATTCACCAGCTCTGTGTGGAAATGAACAAGCTCACAGACATCAAAACCCAAACGGTAAGTGATGAAATTAAGTGGCAGAATATAAGTAGAAACTCTTAAACTAAATGTCTTGGATAGCTGAACACTTTCAGGTCCCCACTGCACTATTCTCACTAGATACCAGTCCACAGATATTGCTGTTACCAGGGAAAGTTTGGAGTCAGAGAGAAAAAGTATTCAAGAAGTCATAGGCTGGGGATGCAATTCAGAACTAGATTTGTTCCAAGGACACTGGTGAGCTGGAGTAAAGTGGGGGCTGCATTGCTTAAATCCAGTCTTGAGTCAAATCTAAGGTTAAGATCTTCATTATCTTTTTATTTTTGAGAGTATGTATATACACATTTGTATGCAAGTTAAAGAACTCACAAAGTTATTAAGTACTTTCTAACAACTTTCTTGGGGAAAATATGTCAAGGGCTCTCAAAAGAGGCGGTTAAAGCACTTTACATTCTGCAGAGCCCATTTTGATGTTGAAAACAACAATTCCAGTGATGCAAATTAGCTAGCAGGAGTTTGGAGCAGGGCTTACTGGGTGTGATGGTGCCAGGAGGCAAAAGTGGACTGCCAGGGCCACAGCGCAGGGGCCTCCATTGGAATTCACCTCGCGTAACTATGTATTTATTCTGATCCAGAGTCCTGCTAGAGGCAACCAAGAGAACTGGGTACTTTTAGAGCATGAGTCATCTGTCCTACTTGAGACGCCTACCTGGAAATGAGATCAATCGAGCCTTCAGAAGGCCTGTTTCTTTCCACAGACTATAAAGGCAGACTAAGAGAACAAGCTCACCTCATGTAGGTTTCCACAGTTTCTAAATTTAGTCAAATGAGGCTTAACCTTTTGTGGGTATTTCATGCTAGATCTCATATTAATACATTTTAAAACTTTTGGGTTGGGTTCTAGAACAAGAAAAAAGTTTAAAAAGAGAAAGCTTGTGTATACATGTATGTGCTTAAGGAAATTGTAATATATACAAGAAAAATTAATCCCATTCTTAGTTTTCTTATGGAAAATAATTTTTTTTTTTAATTAAGAAATTTCTATCCTTTCATATTTTTGTAGGATTTCAGGTTAATTCTCTCAGATAACTATCCTACAAAGGAAGCTCTCAATACAGAGAGTAAGATTTTAGAGAGATCACTGCTGGTTATCCACTCTGGCTTTCTAATACAATCTGATGTACTAGATGAAATGCCATTGTTTACATCTTCCTCTTGATTCTTTTATGTCATTATTAGAGTAACTTATCTGAGAGACATAGGTACAAAGGCTCACCTTCAACAATGGATAAAATTACCCTTGATGAGAAACTTAATGTTGTCAAAACTGCTGTAGAAGATCTGAAGAGAAAGTTGGAAATTTTATTTTTGGAGAAGTATGCTCGGCAGTTCCTACCAGGTGAGTTTTCTTTATCTTGAAATCTCTTCTTTCAGAGGGACTGTATCTAGAAGGGTCCTGTATGTGACCCCTCCGTTAACTCAGTCCCTTGTATGGGGGTGTTGGACTGCTGTAATTTGACACTGCTTTGACCCCACAGTAAAGATTTATATGAAAGAACCATTCTTACAAACTGGTAACTGACTGACATGCAGATCAGTATTGGAGAATGAAATATAATCCATTTAAGTAATTTTTTTTCTAACCACAGAGTGATATAGTAGCCAAGTCTTTGCTAAGAGCAGACATAAAATTCCCTTCTACCAAAAGCTGTGTCTAAGCAAAGCTTTAGATTTGGTATGGCCTTTGCTATGGAGCTCTCCTCCTCCAGCACCGTCTCTGCTGTGGAAAGACCACTCAATGTTTCTGAGAGCAATTTAAGGCTGACCTAAAGCCCCACTGCCACTTGAGGGGCAATCCTCCCTCCCCTTCCCACTCTTTCCAATACTACCTGCACTGGTTCTCAAAAACCCCAGATACTTGATCATATTTTTATCTTTTTTGGGTTTAATCATTTCAGCAACTGATTTTACAGCTTTGCTCCACAATCATTTTTATTAAAAAACCCAAGGAATCAGTGGGCGGAGCTGTGAGGCAGGAACTTCTAAGGATGGCTTTCATGATGAAGCCAATGTAATATGTAACTATACCAGAAAGTCTCTGCAAAGCAGTCTTGTAAATATGCACTACAGTGTCACAGAAAATTAGAAACAGCCCTTAAAGGTGTAGGGCTCAATGTCAGACTTTTTGGTCAGCAATTAGGGTAAAAAAAAATTTTCTTATGAAATGCACATGCAGGTGACAGAAGAAACCCGATAGTCAAAGAAAAATTAAGAACACCGTAAACACTTTTATGACAGAAACTGGCTTATCTGCATAGGAAGATCCAACCCATCTAACTTTTCTGACTGCTCCATTCTGACCACACTTAGGGCAGCAGTGTACAGTTTTGGGATAAAAATGTTTGCCTACACATCCTTTGATAATTCATGCAATCAAAAAAGCAACTCTGCTTTGTACTTTAACCACTAGCTGGCTTTATTTTGTGTATAGATACTTCATGTTTACATTCTGAAGAAGTGCCTTAACAATTTTTTTTTTCTTTTTTTATTTAGCACAACCTCCAGACTTCTATCAGGAGACAAATGTCTGCTCATTATCTCCAGAGTCTGCAGCTAAAAATCCAGAACCAATGATTTCAAGCCAGTTTTCTCAGCGTAAGTATGCAAGCCAGCGTGACTCTTCAGTAAGAATACTCAAGTGACTACGAGACTGTGGATTTGCTGAAGAAAACTGTACTTACAGACATCAGCACAGGATCTGGCTGTTTACCTGAACATAGAAACACAACCAAGTTACCATGAATTAATCAGTCACTGCAGCATAATGCAGTACTATACCTGACTGCATATCCAAAATAAAAAGGATAAGAAACGTGTTTCAGGGAAGTATATAAACTGTGTTTGTCATGTATTTCTAGCTGTAGGAAGGTCCCTGTTGCCAGTATGGAGTGAAGGGACGGGAGTTGAGATCCCACAAAACCTACTGACAGCTGAATTTCTGAGAGGACCACTGCTTCATGCAGGCACACTGAAACCGGAGTTCCCAAGAAGCAAAAGCTTTTTCAGGAAGATGGTGGCATTCCAGAATGAACAAAATGGGAAGTTTAATGTGAATAGAGCGTGTAAGATTCAACTAGCTTGTTAGCCAGAGTTCCATGGCTTTTAAAGTCATTGACAGAACTGCTGGTAATTGTCAAGGTTACTCTCCTTTGCTGTCACTGAACGCACGTTGGTAAGATCCCAGAAGTGTGTGTATCAGCTACAAGGCCGGGGGTAGCTCGCTCTCAGCGCAGTGCCTCCCTAACGCCACTGCCTCTTGTTAGGACCGAGGTCTCCTTTCCTGGTCTGTCTGGAAAAAGAACAGTGACAGCATGATGAACTCACTGTGCACCTCCAATTTTCCACATAAAAGCAGCACCGTGCTGCCCAGAGGCATTAATTTGTTATGGTTTGATCATACATTACCACACAATTTGAAAGGGAGCGCGTCCCCTCGCCTCGGATGTACTCCTGTGCGGACGCACTCGCCGGGCGGCAGGGCGCTGCAGGCAGCCCCGTTTCACTACAGCGCCTGAGCTCACTCCCGGCTCCGGAACGGCAGAACGCGGGGCGGCGGCGCTGCCCTCGGAGGGGCCCGTCCGCCCGCGGGATTTCCCGCCCGCGCTCCCAGGGACGGCGGCGCCAATCGCCTCAGGGCGGCGCGCGGCCTCCG